ATCAAGAGGCAGGAGTTACAGGGAGCTGTAACAGTAAAATAAGAAGCACAAATACTCTGGAGGAAACTACAAGAAAAAGACTAATCCCTTTTGAGCAACTGTTACTTTGCATTTTCAGGGCTCCGTAGAAGCCAACTCTTTACTGTTCAACATGGGTCAGTGTGGTTAGTATAATAGTAGAAAGACTAGCAGTGATCTTGGGCAAATCAATTAACTTTTGCTTCTCTGTTCTTCATTTGAAGTAGGATAAATAAAACCTAAGCTCACAAGGTTTTGAGAAGCAAGCGCTATGAAGCAACAACAACAGTCGTTTGCATTTTTCCCCCTAAGACTTGTCTAAATTTTAGAATTGAAGAGAAAACTTAAAAAGATAACCCAATTCTAATCCTTCCACTTCACATACAACATAGAAAGAAAATAAGATTGATAGACTAAAGGAGGTTACATAGCTAATTAGGAACAGAGCTGTGATTAGAATTTAAGTCTCCCAACTTCTCCCAACCACACGGTTGAACCATGTGAAATCATGGATTGCATCTGTATACCATAAATATTTAAAACCATGAATCAGCAAATGGATCAGGTATGTCATTAGCCATTATTCTGACTTGCAATGTCCAATGTCAGTAATGAAAAAAGAAAGAAGTAGTTATACCTAGTTCTGTCAAAATTAGACTCAAAACAAGCAAGCTCAAGAATTTTTAGCTTTTTTAAAAGGTAAACATTTTAACACCAAAAATGTTCAAGGATGATTACAAAGAATAAAAGTAAGCCAAGTGAAACACATTCAAGGAAAACATGTATCAGCCTCAGAAAAACTACACATGAAGAGGATATTGAATTTTCCCATGATACCTCCAACAATTCATAAAATATATAAGCATTTAAAATTAGGGTGTCCATCAAGTATTCTGATAAATAATTTCCAAAGACAAAGAACATCACTTGTTTGGCTTAACTGTCCCATCATCAATACCAGATCACCTATTCACAACAGCTTTAATAAATTTATTTTCTTTCTGCTTTTCCTCAAGTAATCTCAACTATACTAAAATCAGAAGAGACGCTAGTACAGCTTGGTTAACATGCAAATTATCCACTGCCACAATATCTTCGAATCTTCGTGACTTGCATTTGAACTACAGATAAAGGTCTTGAAATAGTACAATGCTGCTCCAAGTCTTGGTACAGGATTATCTTTGATGAGGAGAGAAGAAATGGAACTTTCCCCCCCAAAGTGAATGGAGATTCAAATGGCACTTACCTTTCATTCTTTTTCTTAAAAATCTTGGTCTTACCCCATAATTTTTCATCTTATGCTTTTATTTTCCTTTCATTTTTAAACTATAGGAAGACTGTTTCATTCTTAAAGTTTATTTCCATTTTGACCAAATTATTTGATGAACTTTTTCAATTTTTTCTCAACAGAATGACCATTGAGGCAGGAATATGTAATTTACATACTCTATAGAGCAGTAAAATTTATAGCAGATTTTCCATTATCAAATTTAAAGTATGAGATATTACTATAATTCATCAAGTGGGACATCTCAACATTAATACATCAAAAAAAGAAATTTCATGATGTCCAAATACACAATGTCTCCTTATGTGGGTGTCTATATTTTACTCCTTGGTCAGAATTACCAAAAATAAAACCTATTTACTTCCCCACCACTACCCTGTCCCCTAAAACATTAAGTTCAAAGTTCTCCTGGGGGGGTCTTTTTAAATTTAATTGATGAATTTCTTTTTGTATGACATGGAATTTTAAGGTTGGTGGCTTTCATTGAGGAAGAAAATAGAATGAGAGTAGTTGTTATTTTTTACACAGTGGAAGAAGCTGGGGGTTCTTAATAAACTCAGTGTTGGAGGGAACCTTATAGGGAATATCTTCCAGTCTCCCTAGCAATCATTTTAGGAAATCTTTCCAGAACACCAGAGACAGGGGTCATCTGGTTCCCGGTTGAACATTTCAAGTAAGGAAAAGCTCACTACTTTAAGTGAGAACATGTTCCATTGTTGGACAGCTCTAATTGTTAGAATGTTCCTTAGACTGAGCTGAAATTTATCTCCATACAAATTAACTACTTTTGCCAACTGGAAGACAAAAATATATTCACTCTTCTTATCTAACAACCCTTCAAATAATTGAAGACAGCTATCTAGTCAGCTAGGTGGTATCTTGGCTAAAGTAATAAATTTTAAGTTACCTCAGACATTGAATGAGTCACTTAAACTCTTAAGTCTCAGTTTTTTTGTGTGTGATGAGAATAGCAGTGTCACCTACCCCCAGGATTTTAGTGAGGACTAAATGAAATAATATATGCAAAATACCGTGCAAACCTTAAATTACTTCATAAATGTTAGCTATTCTTACCCAATTTTTTTCTTAAAATATCCTTGTTTCCTCTACTATTCCTCATAAGACAGTTACCACTTAAAGACCTTTTTTTACCATCCATGTTACTACCCCACCTTTTGGAGTTTTTTGATGTCACTCTAGAAACATGCTACCCACAAAACTGGATAAAAATATTCCAAAGTATGTTCTAAAAACACAAACTACAATTGAACCACTATATTCCCTGATCTGGACACTCTATTTCTATTAATGAAAGACAAATTGGGGTGTTTCCATGCCCATTTACTTCAGCAATCCTATCAAAAGTAAACATGATAAAAATATAACATGAATTCCTAACTTTAGAAAAGAAAAACTAGGAAATGAGATGAAGATACTTTAGCTGTATTAATATACAAGTGAAAATGTTTTATTAGACATCTATGTAGAAAAATAATTTATAGGAGAAGCAGTTACTTCACAATATTGATCACTAACCAAATTATTATGGATAACCAGGAAACTTGAAACTGTTGAAGACTGACAAAAATATTATCAGGTATACTTAAGCACCAACACAACATAATTAAAGAATGAATAATTCCTTAGGTCTATAAAATCAAGACTTAACTTGATAGGGAAACTAAAGTACCCTGATCTCCAACAGGCTTCCAAGCTCAGGTCATTTTCTATGGCTACTGAAAGCTTACATATGCTTCGAGGATTCAAAATTCCACTTCTCTTCTTTGCCCTCCTACTTTTAATACTATTTCGTTTTTTAAACTTATCATTTATTGCCTTATAATTGTTTCCCCTACTTTATTCCTACCCAAAGAGCACATGTGAGTATGCTGTGCCTTGAACACAGGGCACTCAAGTACTTAATTGTGGAATATTTTTAAATCAAAGAAGATGATTTCAATTCATGACTAAGATGACATAGAATTTAACCATTTATCCCTTTCTAAACCATGTTTATTATAAATAAATTACAAATAGAGATTCTACAATGGTTACATCCATCTGATAACTTCCTACAATTTTTCAAAAACAGCAAATTGCTGGTATCTGATGAACTCTCTCACCATTCACCGGAAAGAGGTCAATTAAACACCAGTTTGTACATCAATAACAAATATACCTAGGAGAGACCATTGTCATCACTAGGTATTTATTAAGCATTCACAAGGATTACAGGTCTATGCTTGTAAAGGATGTTTAAGCCTCCAATCCACACCAACACATCCAACATATCACAAAGTATACAAAAGCTCTGAGTTCTAGACAAATAGGTTTTTTAAGAGGCCTGAAGTTCGGAAGACCAGAGTTCAAATCCAGCCTCAGACACGTATTAGCTGCATGGCCTTGAGCAAGTCACTTAACCTCTCTGTCTCAGTTTCTCCAACTGTAAAATGGGGATAACTTATTTCACTGGGTTGTTGAAAAGATTAAATGAGATAATATTTGTAAAGCCCTTAGCTCAGTGCCTGGCATATAAGTGTTCTATAAATGTTATTATTATCGTTATATCATCATCATTATAGGTAGGTTTTTAAGTCAGCATTAAGACCCACCATCTTTTCTCCTGTGAATAGCTATATATTCTGTTCAACAGAACAGAAAGGCTTCAAAATAATTAATGTTGTATACTCCTAGGGAAGTCTTAAATTTAAAGAAGTTCTAACTAAGGATCACTAAGCATTTAAATCACTTTAAAGCTGCAAAACTGCTACCTCCGAACTCCAAAGAGTTAGAATTGGCTCAGCCATGTCACTTAACTAACAGAGCTCTGGTCACTACCCTTTTCTTGTTGTTGCCCCCACCCCCCCTCCCCCAAAGGACACTACGAATGAATGACAGGGCATCAGAGCTAAATTTAAATTTCCTGGCTTTTGCCACAAAGCTAAAAACTAACGAAAGCATGTGGCCAACTCGAGCGTTTTTAATGTGATCTTTTGCATCCCTCCGAGTTGCTAGATACCCAAGAGGGCAGCATGGGTAGTACTGCACTTTGCAAGAAAGGGGGTGGGGGTGGAAATAAAGAAAAAAAGAACCCTATCCCACCACGATCCAGTCCCCCGCCATGCAGTTACGGGGGCTTCACACCCATTACCCCACACCAGGAACACTTTTTTTGCACAGTCTGAGCAAGTCTATGGTGTCAGCACGACTTCCCCCGCCGCTGCCGCCGCCCCCCCCCCCCCCCGGAAATCAAACCCCCCCCCCGACATATTTTGCCCTCGTCCGATGCCTTCCCCCCTCCAGCCGCTTCCAGCCAGCAGCAAGTCGCCCTTCACCCCGCCCAGCCCAAACGTGCGCGTGTCTTGCCCCGGCCCGCTCGCTCCAGCCCGCCCGGGCTCATCTCGGAGGCGAAGTGTGGCACAGGCCAATCCTCACACTTTACCGTCTTCTCCTCGCACATATTTCCCGTCCAGCAAACTGCTGCCCGGGGGGGGGGGGGGGGGAGGGGGAGACGGGAGGGGGAGGGGAGCGAGGAGCCACCGAGGAGGGACAGGACCGTCGAGCTGCAAATAGTCCCCGGCGGCGAGGGTGGTGGGGCTGGGGAGGGGGCCAGGGGGCAGCCGCCGGGCCGGTCCGCTCCGGTCCGCTCCGGGGCGGGAGTGGGGGTGGCTCGGGGAGGGGGCAGGGTAAGTACCTCATAGAGCTCTTCGGAAGCCATGGTGGGCGGCCAGGCGGGAGTCCCCGGGCGGAGTTGAGGGAGGGAAGAGGGGTTGGGGTCGGGGTCGGGGGGAGAGGAGAGGGCCGGGGCCGCCGCCGCCGCCGCCGGGCTGCCGACACTTTGTTTCAGTTGAGTCCCTGTGTGGCCTCCGCTTCCTCCTCCTCCTCCTCCTCCTCCCCGCTGCCCGGGAGCTCAGGACGAGCCTCTCGCACTCCAATGCCAGTGCGGGGCTGGCGGCGGCGACGGCGGCGCTGCTGGGGCTGTGCGCAACAGCAGCTGCGCAACTCGCCCTCGTCGCCCCCTCGGCTCCCTCACTCCCCGGCGGCCCGGCTCCGGCTCATAGCTCTCCCGACGCGGGGCTGAGTGTGGGGCAGCTGCTGCCGCCGCCGCCGCTGCTGAAGCTGCTGCTGCCGCCGCCGCCGCTGCTGCTGCTGCTGCTGCTGCTGCTGCACGGTGGCGGCGGCGGGTGGCTCCCCGGCTCCCCCTCTCCGGTGTAGTGCAAAAAGCTTCCTACTTCGACCAAAAAAAAAAAAAGCCCTCAAAAAAAAAAAAAACAAAACCCTGCCCCGGCTACTGAGCATGCCCAGTGCGACCGCCCGAGCCACGGCGGAGTTCGAGGGTGGGGAATTCCACTTCTCCGGGTTTTCGGGGCCGCCACGAGGGGAGGGGGAGGGGGCAAGAGCGAGTGGGGGGGGAGAAGTGGAGAAGGGAGGGGGGCGGTGGTGGGAGCGGGAGCCGAGCCTCGGGTTCAGCACTGGGACGGAACCCGAACGGGAGCAAGCTGTGCACGGAAGGGGAGGAGCCGAAGGGGAACGGTGGGAGGAGCCCCCCGGGAAAGTATCTTGCACACCCCGTCCGAGTTTACCTAGGTTGGATTCGCGCAGGGTCGAGCTGTTTTCCGCAAGAGGGGGGTCGCGCGCCCTGAGGTTCTTTAAGTTGGGTTAGTTTGGAGGGGGAGCACGCGAAGAAAAGAGCAGACTGTGTTTGGGGGTGTGACTTGGATACCTCGAGAAAGAAGTTGGGAGGGGGGGAGACGAGATTTGAAGTGGAGTGGAGGGGGCTGCTGTGCAGAGTGGGCATCTGCAGACACGTAGTTGGGACAGGAGCCTTTGAAGAGGGTCTGGCCAAGGCTTAGGGGGACTCTACGGTCTTCTTGGAGGGGGACTATTTTCTTTGCCCGGGACTCCGGAGTAGAGAACCCAACGGGGACACGTTTCTTTGCTATGGGCAAGGCTGGGCATTCGCGATATTGGAGCGGGACGTTCCCCATTGCAACACCTCCAGTGCAACAATAAATGGGAGAATCCTCTCCAAACGCGAGCATGGCCAGGACCTGCCACTCTGTCCTCCCCTCCTTCCTTTTCCTTCCCCACTCGCAGGCCAATGTGACCTCTAGGACAGCTCCCGCTCAACTAGGTCCCCGAGGTCTCGAGGATCCTTCACCGTGGGGGAAAGGGAAAAGAGAAGGAGGAAGAGCGTGGCCAGCAGAAGACCTCCCAAGGCTCCCAGGGTCCCGGCTCAAAGTAGCCCAAACTCAGCCTAGCCCTCCCCCTTGGTCCCAAGGATGCCCACGAGGGGCCGCCCGGCGGGAAACTGCCCCCCCTCGAGGGCATCAAGTGAAGTCTAAGAGGCACTGATGGGACTTGGAAGGCAACCTCTCTCTAGGACATTCCCCCCAAGTGCCCCAGCCCTTCCCGTGCCCGGTCGCAGGGTTGAACCCACCGCTCTACCCACGTCCCTCCTCCGTCCCAATTTCTCATTCGGCAGTTCACAAAACCCGGAGCGAAATGGATTCGACACCGAAACTCCATGTGGCGCTAGCAGCTAGACTGGGCATGCTCCAGAAGAGAGAGCAGGTTTTGGTTATAAGTAGGGAATTGCAGTGGGTCGTAATCTAAGGCAGAGACTACTGCTGTCACTTACTTCCACTTCCACTTGCTCCTCAGCCTGCGTTTTCCCCCACTGCGGCTTCCCTTTTTCAAGATACAACCTTTAGGAAGTTGATAGGTAAGAAAGTACCCACACAAAGAGTAGCCCACACGAAGTCTTATCTTTCCATGGAATGTGGCAGTGGTGGTTCTCCACGTAGAGAACGATGGTTAGTGACAGCAGCCCGATGCCCACAGTCCAAATTAATAACTACATTAAGATAGATTTGTCCAGCCATACAAATCCTGGACTGCTATATTTCCAAATAATCATGCCATGACTTTCTACTCTCTAGCATGTGCTCTTCCCCTCTCTCAATTATCTAAATTCTACCCTTCCAAGAAGGCCAAGCTCCAGTCTTGGAGGAGGGTAACAAGATGAGATTCAGAGCTTCAAGTGACATTAGAAATCATCTAGTCCAACCCTCTCCTTTTCCAGATGAGGAAACTGAGGCACTGACTTTTACCTGACTTGCCCAAAGTCATCCAAGTAGTATAGTGGCAGATCAGATTCCGAATGCAAAGCAGTATTTAAGTAGTAGAACATACTAGACTACACACTGATTGCAAATCAATTTGTGTAGCATTTGATCTTTGAAACAGACCTTTGAGATAAGTGTTTTCATTATGCTCATTTTACAGATGAGGAAACTGAAGCTTGGAGGAATAAAGTGACTTTCCCAAGGTCTCACATCTAGACAGGATTTGAACCCATCTTTCTGACTCCAAGTTAGCACTCTTGTCCTAGATGCCACAGTGCCTCTATCAGAAAACCTTCATTTATTGCCAACAGCCTTCAGTGAAAGCTTTGTCCTTGGAACTCCTCTAGTCAATGTGAATTATTTTGCAGCCTTATCATGTGCATTAAAGGACATTGCATTCACAACTAGACTGTAAGCACACTGAGGACAAGACTTCTGTCTTTTTGTATCCCTAGCACAATGCCTAATCTAGATTTGCTGGTAATGGCAATCATCAATACCTATTTATATTCATACATGCAACAAAAAACAGGGACAAAATCCTTATCTACTAAAAGTTTACAGTACCAATTGTAGAAATGGCCACCAAGGGTTAACAGCACCACAGAGAAAAAAAATCTCTACCTACCTCACAGGCATATTGTGAGGCAAGTTCTTTGTAAACTAAGCCTTAAATAGATATTAGTATCTCATGTTTAGAAACTATATGCATAGATAGATATATACACACTCTTATTCCTCAGACAAAAACCTTAATCTTTACAATGAACAATAGAATTTATTAGGTACTCATGATGACACTCAGGCTTAAGTTTGTAAAGTTCTGGGAATGGTCCTTCACTGAAAGACCTCCATAATTAAATTACTACTCATCAAGGAAGACACCATACAAAATGAAAGAAATTGATGTGGCACAGGGAAGAAAAGAACACTGGATCTAGGGTCAAAGGACTTGGGTTTAATATGGAGGCTGTACTTACTATGTGACACTAAGGCAAATCACTTAACCTGTCTCTGCCTCAGTTTCCTCATATGTAAAATTAGTTGAATGTGCTAGCTAGATGGTCACTAAGCTCTAAATCCTATAACTATACATTTAATGTACATAAGATAAATACATTAAATTTTTCTTTAATCAGGAAAGGAATATTATATCCTCAGAAAGGTGCCATAAGAATGTCAAAGAATCACTTTCCACCTCGGCTGCTTTGAAAAGTGATAGGTTTGAAGGCCGTTAGGTGGCGCAGTGCATGGAGCACCAGCCTTGAAGTCAGGAGTTCAAATCCAGCCTCAGACACAGAGCACTCACTAGCTGTGTGACTTAACCCCAATTGCCTTACCAAAAAAAAAAAAAGTGATCATCTTGTTGTTTAAATGGCCACAGCAAATTATCAAAAATATTATCAGTCAACAAGCATTAACCAAGTAGTATAAGCCAAACATCGTGCTAGTTGCTGGGGACAGAAACTCAAAATTGAGACAGAAATATCGAACTCCTGTGTGTGCAGACAGCACTGTAGTAGTGGCATTGCATTTGTGTACCAAATGTTCTAATTCTGAAAGACTGCATTCTTTATGAGTGATGGAGCCCTAATAGTGTCTCAGGTGCACAGCTGGTGAATTAAACCAGCGTATCTTTTTTGTCTTCATCTGTGTCTACCTGCCTTTTTCTATCCATTAGTCTCACTGTTAATAGCATAGGTAGAGGAATGGAGGATGGGATGTTGAAACAGCAACTGAGCTATGAAACAAGTTTTCAAGAGCCCCTTTTCTACTACCCTCTTCTTTCCCCCTCCTTTCCACTGCGCTTGAAACCGATTGTAACTAGCTTTTTTCCCAATTGGGGGTCCTCCAACTTATTACATGGTTTTTTCCTTATGTATTTTACCTGAATAGTTCGTTAACTGTGATTTTTTTAATCAAATTCAGCTTTCTTCTCTCTCTTCACATAAGCAATAAGGCTGTGGATATATTTACTTTAGCTTATATAGTGGTTTGGAATGCATACTTCCTTTTGTGAAATACTGACTTTTTTTGCAAGAGTTATTCTGACCACATACACTGGGTGCTACAAAAGCACTTTCTCAGTGAGTTGAAGTGGGAAGTATGATGAAGTCTCTTCCATACTTAAGGGAAATTTCTCCGTTGTATTGTACCTTGAATGCATGCCAGAGAAACTACCTCCTGAAACATCACAAAGTTTTCATCTTACTACTTAAGTAGTCAGCCCTAAAGCAGCAGTACAGCGCACATGGCAATAGCAGATTTTTACCAGAAATGTGAGTCCTTACCTGCCGTAAATATATCATAGGGCACCATCCATTCTTGAACTTTTCCTCGGTGGATACCTGGGGACCTCCAGACTAGTAACACATAAGAAGGCAAGTTTTTATGAAATACCCTCTCAGATCTTGATGCAGAAGAGCTTCACTGTATCAACAGGACAAAGATTAAGCACTTCTCTAGAAAGTCCTCCTCCTTTTCTGCCTTCAGTCTTAAAAGAGATCCTAGAATTTTCCCCATTCTCCGAAGAATCTACATTTCATCTGCATTTGAATCCTAAGTAAGTACCACCCGACTGAGGTTGGGGGTGGGATGAGGAAAAACCCGGGAGAAACAAAGAATCCGAGTGGTTTATGCTTTGGCCCTGAGGAAAAGAACTTCTACCAGAAGAAGTGACTTTTTTTTTTTTTTAATGAAGGTATTTATTGCTTTTCAATCTTACCAAAAGTTTAGTTGGGAGAATGTTCCAGGACTAATCGGGGCTCCCC